TCGGCAAGAGCAGGAAGAGAAGACTCAGGAGGAGAAGGTAAAGGGGCACGCAGAGGAGCAGTGGAGGGACTCAAAGACATCCGGTCTGAGCCAGGGACAGGGGGAGGACGCTGACGCGAACCGCGACCACTAGTGCGAGCAGCACGGACAGGCGACGCAGGGCGAGACGTAGGCTCACGACGCTCAGCAAGACCTCCAGTAGGGCCAGTGTAGGGAGACGGAGCAGGCAGTGGGGAGGCCGGCTGTAACTATAGCTGTGACGGGACAGGCTTTGGACACTCGAAGGGAGGAGGAGGAGGACCTGTAGAAGGGGGAAGACCAAGAACCTGCTGAAGGAGCGGAACGAAGTACGGGCGAGGCCACGCGGCGACTCCACACACAGCAGGGACAACACCAGTACCCCCAGCGGCAGCACCAGTACCAGCAGCACCTCCAGCTCCACTACCTCCAGCAGCACTAGTAGCACTCTAGAGGGGTCTGCCAGGGAGACTGCAACTGGCCGACCAAGCGGCGTGAGTGTGGTGCGGTCTCGAAAGAAGGAGCGAGAAGACCCCGAGTCAAGTGTGAAGGTGTGGGAGGCCGAAGCCGACGCAGTACCTGAGAGCGCAGACTCACCAGTACCAGAGGAAGCAGACGCACTAGCACCTAGAGCAGCAGCCTTGCTAGCACCAAGAGCAGCAGCCTCACCAGCTCCTAGAGTAGAAGTCGCAATGCCCGGGTCGGGCGGGAAACCTGGTAACAGTCACCCTCCTTGCTAATAGACACAGTATACATAGGAGCAAGAATAGCATCAAAGTCAAGGTCAAAGATAGCTACCCCTGCCCTAGACAGCTCGCCCCAGCGAGGGATCTCAGTGGCCTCAGGGAACTAGTGACGCCAAGCGTCCGTCAGGCGGCCAAAGCAGCGCTACTTCTTGCTGGTGGTTGACGACTACTCGCGTTACACCACAGTCTTCCCCTTGCGCAGCAAGGGTGATGTCACGGAGGTGTTGATTGACTGGATCCGCGCAGCTCGTCTTCAGCTCAGGAGGAGCTTCAGCTCGGACTTTCCTGTTCTGCGTCTGCACTCTGACCAAGGCGGAGAGTTCTCCTCTGGCCTTCTGCGAGCCTACTGTCGTGCGCGAGGCATTCGCCAGACCTTTACGCTTCCGGACTCTCCACAGCAAAATGGGATTGGTGAGCGCCGCATTGGCATGGTCATGGACGTCGCTCGTACGTCCATGATGCATGCGGCTGCCCCCCATTTTCTGTGGCCGTTTGCGGTTCGGTACGCGGCGCATCAGATCAACCTTCACCCCAAGGTCTCCAGGCCGGAGACCTCCCCAGCCTTGCTGTGGACGGGTAAGGTCGGCGATGCGTCTGCGTTCCGTGTCTGGGGATCTCGGGCGTTTGTCCGCGACTTGTCTGCGGACAAGCTTCCCCTCGTGCTGCTCCCTGTGTCTTCCTTGGCTTCCCCCATGACGCCCCAGGGTGGCAGTTCTACCACCCCACCTCTCGTCGTGTTCTGTCCTCCCAGGACGTCACGTTCGACGAGTCAGTCCCCTACTACCGCCTCTTCCCCTACCGCACTCCTTCCCTCCCCCCGCCACCGCACTTCCTTGTGCCAGGTCCCCCCCCGGTAGACCCCTCCCCCCTCAGGGTCCTGCCCCTTCAGGTGTGTCCCGGATAGACGCTGTTGAGCCTGTCGAGGTCGCTGGTGACTATCGTGCGGCTGAGGGTGCTGAGCCTGGGGGTGCTGACTCTGAGGGTGCTGAGCGTGTGGGTGCTACGCCTGGGGGTGCTGAGCCTGAGGGTACTACGACTGGGGGTGCTGAGCCTGGGGGTGCAAAGTCTCGGGGTGCTGAGCCTGGGGGTGCTACGCTTGGGGGTGCTGAGCCTGGGGGTGCTGAGCCTGGGGGAACTACGCTTGGAGGTGCGGAGCCTGAGGGAGCTGAGCCTGCTGGTGCTATGCCTGGCGGTTCTCCGGGTGCTTCGTCTCGCCAGGAGCCACTCTGTCCACAAGAGCTGCGTGAGTGGTTTGCCCGGCGCTGGAGGGGAGCTGGAGGTGCTGCGGGTACTAGAGTTTCATCTGCTGCTGAGGGTGCTGAGGCCGCGGGTCCCGGAGGTGCTCGTACTGGGAGTACTGTAGCTGCTGGGCTTGCGGGTACTTCTGGAGTTGGAGCTGCTGCGGGGGTTGGCGCGGAGGCTACTTCTGTCGGTCCTAGAGGCGGTCCTGCTGGGGGTGCTCTGATACCATGAGAAGAAATGAGAATGATTGAACTATGAATGAATTGGGTACAAGTACTAACCCTAATTGGGTTGTACCCCTTATGGGCTACCCCACTATAGCCTACACAATATGCAACAGCTACAATGTTCTGACAAACGTGTGACCTCAATCCGTCACGTACATGGACTCCTAGATCGATCATCGGTGCGTCAGATCACCACTGCCGAGTCGAATAGGCACATATGTTGGAGGGGTAGGCTAAAAAACGGGGATATTGCTAGGAAGCAAGCTATCTGAGGAATGTGAGATCAAGTAACTCAAAGAAAGAAGTGTGAAATGACGATCGAGGACGACTACCCCCTCTCGAATGGGTGGAATATGGGAGATGAGCCTCTGGTTGACAAGGTCCCATTTCTTAGGTGTTTAAAACCCCTCCCGACTGTTTATAAATGTTTGGTTTCTTATTTGTATACGTGTGAAACGCACTTAACTGATCGAAAGTTGGCGTTCAAACCAACGGACTTGTTTGACGGAGGGAAACCGGATATCGGATTCCACCAGTTGAGGTCGACCAAGGGTGCAAGGGCAGTTTGATTGGTCCAAAATTGCAACGCGGCGAATATTTGCAACGCGTCACACCATCCAAATGGTGTTCACTTGCTTGCCGCGCCTTGGGTGGGTGAATATGGACGTCGCATGATTTGGAAGCAATCGTGCGATTTTCCCGCACGTCAACTTTCCCTGACGCCAAACGGCAGAAACACTGTCGTTTTTTACTGTCACAGAACCCAGTTGCGTGTGAATGCACGTGATTGGTTGACACAAGTCGTACATGTTTTTGGGCCGACGATACTCTCGTTGCCTGGCAGGTGTGGTGGCTGTGACTAGAATCGAATTCTGCCACGCTGGACCAATGTTGTTGTACCGCTATGGTAATTGATGGGGCCATATCAAGAACGCCATCCGAGTCGCTTGTGTTCCCGGCGAGCCATTCCAGTGCAGCTGATCTAGCTGGAACAGTGTTTTCCATATTTCTCGCACTTGTAAAAGGCATTGTTCGTAGGATAGGCCGCTTGGTTGGTGCCAGGGTGGAATGTAAACAACCTGCCGTTCAGCACCTACACGTTGACTGGGCCATGCCTTTCGATTGGCAGTCAGGAGTGTGGGTGGCCTGAGTGATAGGAGCAAACGACCAGGATTAACCATACTCTTCAAGTCGAAACTTCTGCATGTCAGAATCCCAACCACTAGACCATTGGGATAAAAGGGCTTGTTTCAGTAGCGGGTCAGTGCGCCCATAACCCCCCAGGCTAACATGCGTGTAACCCCCCAAGGATCAATCAAGGATCTCACAGTGCAGCTCTACTGACACCCCCCCACACTAGGAGGCCCAAGACTGAGCACAGCGGCAACGGCTTGCATGTGCATACACCGGGATTCGAACCCGAGACCGCTCTGATACCCTGTCAGAATCCCAACCACTTGACCATTGGGATAAAATGGCTTGTTTCAGTAGCGGGTCAGTGCGCCCATAACCCCCCAGGCTAACATGCCTGTAACCCCCAAGGATCAATCGGGGATCTCACAGTGCAGCTCTACTGACACTACGGTAGATTTCCTAGACACAAAAAACATAAGCTCCATATTGTCTCCGAAGGAAACACTATTCGTTATTAATATTTTCAAGGAAAATAGTAGCTGCTATATAAAACTGTCACTTATCCTGTAAATTAAAACATTCAGTATGCAGAGTTGCCTGAGTGTTATTTCAATACCGTAATGAAAGATATACAGCAATATTCAAACTCGTTTTCAAAATTGCACCAGAACCTTTAGTACATTTTACGCAACACTTAAAGACTACAATGTTTCCAACTCAAGTACCAAATTAATGAAAACAACTCATAAATGAAATTTTACATATTACACGGTTTCATAATAGCAACAACGTTTTCAAATACAGAAACCAACCATACGTACGACACAATGCATCTGCAAGCTGCCCTCGCGGGTGCAATCCTTCGACCAATCAGTTCATGCAAGCGTGGAGCTCCGTAAGTGGTCGGCGTTTTTGCTGGCACTTCCAAACCTCAACCAGGCGTACAGCTCACCACCCGTGCCTCGTAAATAGGAGCGATTTCTACCAAACCCCGAGCTCGTGTCAGGCAACACGCAAACAACACGCCTCAAAAGCAGCGAAGTCGCAAACCATTGGCCAATGCCAATGGTTTGCAAGTGGAAACGAGTGGTTTTGCCCAACCACTCGCTGGCGAGTGGTTTTTGTAACGAAAACCAGACAAGCCAGTCTTGCGATGGGGGCGAGGTGAAGCGTCATCATGGCGTGCGGCGAGTAATGCTAAAACGCTCCCGACGCGAATGGATGCAAATAGGAGTGGTGAGGCAGGAATGGAGCTAAGAGAGTCCGCGAGGGAGGGACGACGGCGGTTTCAGTCAAAGCCCGTGTGGCCGCCACGTTGCTGGGATGGGTGAAGAAGATTCGAGAGGTGTGGCGTGAAAAGAAACCTGCGAGACAGCGCTGCAGAATGCATTCAGGGAGGTCGCTATTTATAATTCCTCTGCCATCGCCGCCGCTGCCATGTACCAAGACGCTCGACACACGCGCATTATGAGAAAATGATGCACTGTTTGACTAATGGGACGAGCACATGGACCTGGGAGTCAACGCGAATCCAGTCAACGGTGAGGAACTGTTGACTGACGCTTGGCCAAAAGTCGGTGAAAGGGTGAGCGAGTCAGGGTCTGTCGTGAGAGTGCTTGCAGCCTAGTATATCTCAACGGAATGGAGGGGGCGAGGAAACGACAAAGAGGAGACGACAAAACGACAAACTGTTCGGGGCAAAAAAACTAAACCCCAAATGGACGGCATGCCATTCGGGAGCCGAATGAAAAGAAAAGGCAACGCCCTTGCCTGGGAGAAGTTGACCTCGCTGTCCAAATGTGTGCAGGCGGCTGCGTTTCGTCGTCCCGGGCGGGACCCTGCTCACGTGTGCCATGTATTTCAATGCCAAGGCACTCCTCAAGGAATGCACAAGCAGGGCTGACGCTATCAGACTAAATACTCGGATTAGTCTGACGAATCCGAGTGTCTAGCCACTGGAAACTGTTTTTCATATTAGTTTATTTCTTGTCCCTAAGTGCTTCCACTCCTCCTTCTAGGGTCCACTGAGTGCCTCCTCCACTGTGGCTGGTTCTCCAGGCAAGGGTGTGAAGAAACAGAACGCCATCTCCTCATCCTCTCCCTCATCCACCTGAACCGCCATGGCACTTTGCTTGGGTCCTCCCAAATGGCTATACTTCAGCCTTGAGGGTGCTGCTGCCACTCTCTTCTCACGGGTTACATTCTGCTGCCCATGTGGTGAAGCTCCTCTCTGCACACTCCTCTTGGTGACCTTGGCGTTTGCAGCTGGCTCGGGCTGAGATGGTGAGTCCACACGTGCCGACTCATCCTCCAACCCCTCCTCTCCAGCAGGACCAGAAACTTGCTGCTCACCACCGCCACTGTGGTCACTGGTCAGCTCTGACCCAGGGAGATCCTCAAGGTGCAGCTGAACCTCCTCCACTGCAGACCGCTCAATCTCCTGCAGACGCAAGCCAATCTGCACCTGCTGCTGCTGCTACCAGTCCTTGTACATGACGTCCTCCACAAACTTGACGTCACGGCTGACCAGCGACTTCTTGCTCTTGGGGTCCCACATCAGCCACCCCTTCGAGTCAGGAGCCATCCCAAGATGGACAGCCCACACAGCAGCAACTTCCAGCTTGTGCCTCTGCTCCTTAGGCACCATCACAAGCCCCATGCAGCCCCACACACGCAGCATGTCAATAGATGGCTTCTTCCCAAGCCAACGCTCGTACGGCACCCAATGCTTGTCGCCAACATGCGTCAAGACCCTGTTCTTGACCGTGATGACATGGCGAACGACATCAGGCCAGAACTTTTAGGGTATCCCAGCAGCCCCCAACAAGGTCTTAGCTGCCTCGCCAATAGTCCGGTTGGCACGCTCAGCAATGTTGTTCTGTTGCGGTGTTCCTGGGCAGGTCAGCTGATGCCGGATGCCATTTCTCTTGAGGAACTTGGTGAATTCCGCTCCAAGGAACTCTCCACCTCGGTCGCTCCTCAGCACCTTCACCAGCCGCATCGCTTGCCGCTCCACCATCGACAACCAATCCTCCTTGATCGCCGCTGCAGCATCGCTCTTCTTGGACAAGGGACGCGCCAGCGTGAAACGGCTCCATTCGTCCACCATGGTAAGGAAGTACAGCACTCCCCTAGTCCCCTCAGTCCTCATGGGACCCACCAGGTCCATGTGCACCACCTCCAATGGTGCCTTCGCTGATCCCTCCGCTCGTGGGAACGGGAACCGCGCAAACTTGTTTTGCATGCACGCCTCGCAGCTGCCATAGTGAGTGCCATCTCCTTGCAGTTGCAGCCCATGCACGCACTTCTCCTTGTTCATCACCTCCAGTGTTGAAACAGCCACGTGTGGGAGCCGCCGATGCCAAGTCTCCCAATCCGCTTGGCCCGAGGTAGCCGACGCCTTCACCGCCGCGCTTCCTCCAATCAGCTCCTCTCCTTGCACACCTTGGTGCTCCTCCTCGGTAACGCTCTCCTCCATAGATGCCGCTGTAGCCGCCTTGCCCGATTTCCGCCAAGGGAGGACCGGGATCTGCCACATCTGCTTGTGGACATCTCCCTTCCACTGCAGGTTCCAAATGAGGCGCTCATCGTTGTAGGCACGATAGCGCTCCGAGCCAATCGTCTCGGTGTTCACACCCGCATCTCCCAACCGGCCGGTAGAAATCAGATTCGCGCACAAGTCCGGCACCCACAGCACCTTCTTCAGCCCCACGAGCTCTCCATCCACTCCCATGAACTTGGCGCATCCCATGCCCATGATCTTGGCCTTGGCGCCCGTCGCGGATGTGACTGTAGAGATGGGTGCAGGCTGAATCTCATCAAGTAGGTCCACACGAGGATTCATGTGCCAAGAGCTCCCGAAGTCAATCACCCAATGGGTGAGGGGGTGTAGGAGAACCTTGGCAGCCATAGCGTGGTCGGTTGCGCCTTCGTTCACGAAGAAGAAGAACCCGGCCTTCCGCTCCTCAGATTTGCCGCCTTTCTCCTCATCCTTCTCCTCTCCACTAGCTCCCATGACTCCCCCACTCTTCGTGCCACCACGCTGGTTGCTTGATGAAGGCGGGGTCCAATCCTTGGGTCGTTGGTAGCACTTCCGCCAACGATGTCCGCGCTTCTTGCAGTAGAAGCACACCTCCCCTTGAACCCCGCCACCATCCTCCTTAGGGTTATCCTTGTTCTTGCCCTGCCACTTCTTCTTGAAGCCACTCTTTCCACCTCCAACTCCATAGCCAGCCCCCTCCTCCGAGCGCTCCACACTCCGCCGCCGCAGGTCCTCCTCTAGGATGCGCGCGCGAATGTAATCCACGCTCCATTGGGGTTGTTGGGAGTTGAGGTTGATCGCTAGGGCAGACCATGACTCCGGCAGCCGTATCACGATCTCCACGCATTGCACGAGCTCCGGGTACACCAAACCGCCTCCTTGGAGCTTCGTGAAGATGTCGCGCATCTCATCCAACACCGGTTGCATCGGCTCTCCATCAACGAACTTGATGTCGCGCAGCCGCCGCGCGAGTAGCACGATGCCGGTAGCATGTGTCGGTGAGTGCACATCCAGAAGCTTCCTCCAAGCCTTGGGGCCACACTCTAGATCACCCAAGAGGTCCTTGATGTGGTCAAGTTGTCGTCCGCCAACCGCTTGCACCATGAGCATGTACGCGTTGAACGATCGCTTCATCCACGCTCCATTCAGCTCCGCGGCATCCGGCATCTTCTCCTTCCCCTCCACCAAATCCAATAGCTTGTATTGGGTATACATCAGCCTCATGCGGACACTCCAGTGCTCGTAGTCCTCCCCCATGAATTTCTCAATAGAGAAAGCTTTCACAGGATCCACAGTAGTAGGAGATGGTGTAGAAGAAGTAGGTAGCGTAGGGTTGTCTGGTTGGTGAGTCCCCACTCCTCCACCAGCAACTCCCCCCTACTCTCCAGCCTCTCTACTTCTATCCATCTTGCCATTAGCACCTCTGGAGTTCGTACCGACCATATTGAGGCCTTATGAACGGTGGAAACTTGAGAAATCGTTTGGAGAGAATTCTGCCAGAAATTTTGATTCTACAAAAATCGCCGTCGCGGACTAGATACTTCGAATTAGAACGTGTTTTGATAACCAATCGAAATTTTGAGAGTTAAGCTACTAGAAAATGGTCTCACTCGACAACATTGGTTGGGAATTTACGACGATTCGTCGTCTCAAAGTCGACTACCCGCTCTGATACCACTTGTTGTTCAGGATCCGTCACTTTGAGAGCTTACGACGAACTCATTACTCAACTAAACCTAATTCCGCTCGGTAGAAAGTTGCGACTTAGAATTAGCTACCATCTCCAAGTTGAATCAGTCGTTGGCATGGTCTATAGAGTGAGAACCAAGTAAAAACGTCCAGCAGCCGCATGACTATAATGGTAGAGGAAGTACAAGCATTAGGGCATAGAAAGTTGGAGTTGGGGACTCCAAGAGAACCATGAGAGAGAAGGGGTTCTCCAAGAGCTAGGGAAGGATGGTAGGAACCTTCCCAACAGCAAGGATGCAACCCTCATCATGAGGTCCTTGAGGTGTCACATGCAAGATCCAATCTAGTTGGATTTTGCCTAGGTGTTGCAACATTTGCAACCCATGCTAGAAACTTCTAGCCACCCCAACCAAAAGTCAAAGTTGCCTTCCTAACCACCCAACCAAAGATCCCTTTATAGTCATGTTCCAAGTAATCACCCAAATTAGATATAACCCCAAAAGGTAATAAGAAATCCAAATCTTGGAAATCTTGTAACTTGGGCGATCTTGGTCGGAATAAGGCGATCTTTGTGTCGTTGGAAAGCTATAGATTTCTCCTGCATGATCAAGCATTTAGACTTGGAGAAAAGCACAGATGATAATATCCAACAGCCATGCACAATGACATACGTTCATGCAAATCATGCAAGCACAAATAGCACGAGCACTCGGCAGGACGTTAGGATGACATGCACTCAGAATGACGTGCATCCAATAGCACACACACACATATGCACATGCACATGCACACACACACACACATGCACATGCTCACACACACATGCACAGACGCACACACACACGAGCACACACACACACACATGCACATACACATGCACACGCGCACACACGCACACACATAGATGCACACACACACGTATGCACATACACATGCACATACGCACATACACACATGCATACGCATAGACATGCACATATACATACACACACATACATGCACACAAACGTACACACACACATACAGATGCACACACACACACATGGACACACACATGCACACGCGCACACATGCACAAACGCACACATGCACACACGCACACATGCACACACACATGCATGCACACACACATGCACACACACATATACACACTCATGCACACACACACATGCAGACACACATGCACGCACGCACATACGCACATACACACGCATGCACACACACACACATGCACACATATACACATGCACACACACATGCACATACATAGACATGCACACACACACACACATGCACACGCATGCACACGCGCACACACACACACACATGCACACACATACGCATGCACACACACATGCACATACGCACATACACACACACATGCACACACACATGCACACATGCACATACGCACACACACACATGCACACATACACACACATGCACACACAGACACACACACATGCACACACACATATGCACACCATATGCACACACACACACACATGCATGTGTTCACACACACATATGCACACACATTTACACACACATACACACACACACATATACGAGCACACACCCATACATATGCATACACACATGCACATGCACACACACGCATACACACACACACATGCACACACACACACACACATGCTCACACACACATGCACACACATGCACATACACATACATGCATACACATGCGCACACACACATACGTGCACACACATACATGCACACACACACACATACATACACATGCACATACACATGCACACACACACATACATGCACACACACACACACATGCACACACACATGCACACACGCTCATACACACACATGCACACACGCACGCACACACACACACATGCACACACACACATGCACACACACATGCACACACGCACAAACACACACATCCATTAGGATCCCGAGCTAATGAAAACTATACGAGTAGTATGTAACGTTCTCGATTGCTGCATTCAAATAAAAGTAACAAGTACCTTAACGAAGTGCGTATTGTAGAGCTTTGTTAAGTCGTTGCGTGCCGTAACCCTCGTTTCGCGTTCCATCTCCAAGACACGCTCCTTCTGTAATGCCTCCGTTCGAGACACCAGCGGGTACGCCATGTTATTCAACTCCCCCTTTGGAACGGAGCACCTAGGGCATGGAAAACGAGGCTTGATGCCGGACTTGGTGCCTGCGACTTTGCACTGCTCTGGATAGTCGTTAATGTAGGCGTACGTGATCAGAAAGAATGTACGGCGAATCCCGTATGGGTCCATCAACTCTATGCCACTGCATGCACGACAACACGGATTCAGTCAATGCATGTAACTCATATAAAACACTAAACAAATGAGGACCAAACAATAAAGAGGCAAACGTTTAAGGACTTACGAGTTCTGGGCCATCTTCAAGTCTGCCATGATAAGATCCAACGCTGCTTGAAACACTTCAAGCTGCCGCCGTTCTTTGTCCGTGTGCCTAAAGAAACTCCCGTCATCATCGGGTAGGAGAGCACAGAGTCGATGGCCATGGGGTCTCCACCGATTCCCCGGTGCAATGTTCGCTAGTGAGATGTACACCGGCCAAACCTTTAGTCCGCCATCAGTCGTCAGGGTCGTTTCGAATATATGATAACCACGGCGATGGCCTTGCCTGGATCAGTATTTGGCAGCTTGCGCAGAACCTCCCGCCACCAATTCCCCGTCTCAGGACCCTTGTAGATCCGTTTCGCAGGGTTGGTGTTTTTGGGAGGGCGCACAACGAAACCCTACGCGTTTGCCACGTGTTGGTGCAACCCTATGGTTTGCACTCGGCTTGTCCGTGTGCGTGCATGTGTGTGTGTGTATGGAATGGTATGAGGGCATGGGATAATATATATTTCATGCTTATAATTGTGTGTGAATGTTGAGTCATGATGTCGAGTGTATGTGTCGAGTCAATAGCGAGTTATCGCTAGACGCGTGTTACGCGGTCGTTTGTGTCTCGCGCGCGGTTTCTATTTTGTCGTGCGCGGTTTCTCTTTTGTCCTGTGTCGAACGTTCGGTGTGTCACAGGTGTGTGCACCAGACCCATCAAGAACTCAAGGATGAGTTTGTGATGAAGAGCCGAGCCTTGGTGTCAATCCTCAAGTGATTTCAAAGCTCGCCAAAAAGGGTACACCTCAAGATATTGAAGATAGTTACATTACTTTGTGTAGTGTAACATTTCACTTGGTGTAGGCCCTAGTGAAGGGTAGTTTCGAGACCCTTCGTGGTTGGGGACAGTGTGGCACTGTTCCACATCACTGTATCTCGGCTCTTGGGGTTTGTAGGAGCTGGGAGTCATTCCCAACTCGTAACTCTTCCTAACTCTTCCTATCTTGTGTTCTAAGACTATAGTGGCTGCCATAGTGCCGTTCGTTCAAACCAACCCTGTGTCGTCAATACTTGGTCAAATCGTGCGATCTAAATTGCCTATTGTAGGCGACAATAAGACGCTCCAGATCCAAGTTGAATCAAGTCATTTGAAGCAGTGACCAGAACGCTCTGAACGTTTGAAGCCGCTGTGCAGAAATCCGACTGTGCACTCTATCTTTCGTTTTAGGCACATTGGAGCCTACTGTGACTATAACAAGTGGTATCAGAGCCCCTTGGAGCAGTTTCGACAATGGCTGGACCTGAGGAAAGGGGTGGCAGAGGTGCTGGTGGCAGAGGAGAAGCCCAAGCTCAAGGCCAACCCCGTGACTCAGCCATGGCGCCCGTGCAACCAAGTGTTGGCCCATCTAGGGATGAGCCTAGAGTGTTTGGCCTTGACAAGTTCAATGGTGACAACTTTGCTGAGTGGTCCTTCAGAATGGTGAACATATTTGACCACTATGATCTGCTGGAGGTGATGGAAGGAACGGAGAAGCGTCCCGAGAACGATCCGGAGAAGAGCCCGTGGGTGCAGAAGAGCGCACAAGGCTACCTCCTACTTGGGCAAGCGTTGGGGAGCAGCCAAATCCGTCACATCAAGCCTTTCCAGCGTGAACCAGAGAAGGGACCAAAAGCATGGGCTGCTCTCAAGGGTGTACACGCTCCTGCAACAGCGGCGGTAGCTGTGGTGTTGGAACGGCAAATGGCGACGTTACGAATTGAAGAGGATGAAGCGGTTAAAGAAGGGGTGCAGAAATTCTTCGACTTGTTGACGCGGCTTGAGGGAGCTGATTTGAACTATAGTGAGCTCCAAAAGAAGACCAAGTTGCTGGCCCTACTCCCGGAGTCATGGTCCTCGCTCATCATCAACCTTAATCGCGACTTGCCCCGCCTCTCGCTTGAAGACGTGAAGCGAGCTATCCTTCAAGAGGATTTCCGCCGCCGTGAGTTGGCGAGTGCGGATGGCGCTGGGGCAGCGAGCATCGGCCGTGGATATGGTCGAGGAAGAGGCAGAGGACGAGGGGGAGGAAGGTTTGGTGGCAGCAACTTCGGCGGAGGCCGCGGGAGTGGCGGTTACGGCAACGACGACAAGAGCTACGGACGCGGTCGCGGCCGATT